GTGTGTGTGTGTGTGTGTGTGTGGGGGGGGGGGGGGGCATCTTTATGTATTGTCTCTTTTTACATTACACATTTTTATGTAATTAACACATTTGCAGGTAAGCCAAATGTGAACATCTGGCAACAGACTCAGGAGACAGACAGTAAAAAGGTAAGTGAGCTTTATTTACAGTGGGTGAGGTTCTGGTTCTGGATCTGGAAGAGAGAAAGGCAGGTGAGTACTTGCGGGAGAGATGATGTTGACATTTTAGGATTTCTGGAGGTAAGTAATTGTGACTCATCATATTGAAATGAGGATGAAGTCAAATTTGTTCAAAATGGCCTWATACATTTTCAGATTCCTGGCTTTAAAAGCTACATTTTGATRCCTGGATCATCCTAATATAATAGGTGGATCCAGAGATATGCCTTAATTGGTCTTGTTGGTTATGATAATACATTACTGCTTGGTCTGAATCCTAATTTTATTTAAATTTGAGTAATTTTTGATGTTATTATAAAGAGAAAACCTCAAATAGTATTTGTATATTAAGATTTCCCAGTTGGAAAGAAACAAAAACATTGTTAGCTCACAAGGAAAACTGTAAAATTTTAAGCAATTTTCCCTCAAAATCAGTTTTTTTGTTGCTACTCCTCAAAAAAAATGCTTCAAAAATGTTTTTTTAGGATTATATTTCAGACACTTCATTCAAATGATACATTGATAAGGCATTTACTCATATTTTGACAAAATGCAATTTTTGTACACGTTTAAATCAAATCCCTATATGTGCCTATTTTTCCACATTCCACTTTTGGACTTAATCCTCATTTCGATGTGATTGGTCACATTTATTCTTACGGTTTCTAGAAGGAGGTGAGACACTGAGGAGAGGGTCTGGGTCCACAGGTTTTCAGAGGAGGACAAGATCAGCACACAGGAGGACTGAGCAGGTGAGATCTTTACCATGGGAGGCGAGAGGCAGACAGGAGGAACCAGGATCAGGTGAGTGAGCTCTCTTTTCAAGTTCACAGGMAGGTGCAGACGGATCATCAGGTAAGTATCACTGATAATCGGTACACAGTGAAAACACAGGTAGGTACAACTCAGGTAGACAGAACTACCACACAGCCAGGAGACCAGACTATAAGATGCATGATGTTCGAGCAAAGATCTGATCACAAGTGCAGATTTATAAACTCAGGGAGCTCATCACAGGAACCTACTGCAGCTGCGCTCAGTCAGATTACCAGCCAATCAGGAAACAAACACAGGTTAAAACACACAATGCCTCAGTAATTGGTATCACTCTGTAGAAATTTAGATTCAATTTGACATTACAGACATTTTTATGACTTTGTCCAAAAGTTTTATATATATATATGTATGTGTGTATGTATATACAGTATATATACATATGTACATGTATACATACATACATATACATACCCAGACCCTGACTGATTTAAAATAGAAACAAAACTAAACCATCCAAAGGAAATAAATACT